CCGCCTTGCCTCCGCTATCTTCAGTTCTCCCTCTCTTTTACATAAAACAGAGGTTACATCATGACGCTTTGAAATGGCATGCTGCTGCCGCTCCCTCCCACAGACATACACACAAACCCAGAGGAAAACACAACATGCAACTAACACTGTAAACATTAATACAGGAAATGAATGGAATCAACTAATATTTTCTCATCAATTTAACGTAAATATACAAGTAATATTCATTTCAAGTTAATTTAACTTAACATTTCTAGTTTTTACTTTTAGTTTAGTATAAACTTAAGTTTAGTTTTTATACTTTGAAGAAAACATATATGATGGAAACTTGCAGTGCATCTTTGATACATTTTAAGATAAGCTGTGATTTTTTTCCCCACACTAATGAAAACATTGTTTTGTTTGTAATGTTTGTCTGTGTGACCTAAGAGTTGTTGGTTGAATTTAATATCTTAAGCTTATCGAACATGTTTTCTCAAGTTTAGTTAACTCACTAACAGTTAACTAAATTGGTTTTGCAACTCAAATCAGACTTTAATGTAATAATTCAACCTTAGTTCAATTAACTCACATTTGTACGGCAGCAAAAAAAAAAAAAGAACTTTTTAAGTTGAACCAGCTCAAAAATGATGTACAGTGTAAGGAAACACACACATTCTCTCTGTTCACATACAGTGCCTGTTTCTGTAACTCAGAAATATGCCAGTAAGGCGTTAACCTGTGGCACTTTCTCATACACACACACCCACACAACAGTAGTAATCAGCCTCAACGTATTGTCAATGTATACAGCCGCAGCCTAATTGCATTACTATAGGCCCAAACTCCGTCTCCCACACACAAACGCACACACTCACTCGCTACCAGCTGTGACAGATGTGCCTGTCACAGGAGAAAATGAATTCAGAATAGTTAGTGAATTAAGCAGGGAGTTAATTGTTGCTTGGCCCCTGTTTATGAAGCGCATAAAGGCAAAGCGCCTTGTTTGTCTTGTGACAATTAGCCAGCAGAGATAGAGAGGAAGTGTTTGTGTGTGTGTGTGTGTGTGTGTGTGTGTGTGTGTGTGTGTGTGTGTGTGTGTGTGTGTGTGTGTGTGTGTGTGTGTGCAAGTGTGTGTGTAATTGTCCTGTTCTCTTTAGCAGCTGGTGCAGCCACACCTGGACGGGTTGAGACAGAAAGAGAGAGAAAGAGAGAGAGAGAGAGGAGAGGGGAATGCAGAGGGGGGTTGTAGCCAGTATGGTATACATCTTTGGCCACCGTCTCAAACACACACACGCACACACACACACGCACACACACACACACGCACACGCACACGCACAGCTACCTACACAGAGAGGACTGACAAAGACATCACTCAGAGTAAACAGACAACTTCTATACATGAGTTAAGATAGCTGATGTTGCATGTACAAATATTCTCACAGGCAAACATGAAACATGACACACAAGCACTTACATTCTCTCACTCTCTCTCTCTCTCTCTCACACTCACACCACACACACACACACACACACACACACACACACACACACAGCGCGTTATTTTGTGTTCCGATGCCTATCCTGGTTGGGTCTCTCCCAGTCTATTTGTCAGTGTGTCCTATTAGGTTTCCAAACAGCTTGTAATGACTGGTAATAAACAGCAGAAGAAGAAGAAGGTAAATCAAGCGAGAAGACGACAAAATGAGCTCTCCGGGGGACCGCCGTGCTCCTAGCCTTCAAAACACACACACACACACACACACACACACACACACACACACACACACACACACACACACACACACACACACACACACACACACACACACAGAAATACGCTGACAGTTCTGTCTATGTATTCATGCACAGTCAATAAAGCAGGCGATGGCAGGTTATGGGGGACTAACAGATAGCAAACACTTTCTTTTAACAGTGTCAGAACAAACAGGATGTCAGAGAGGGGGTGGAGATGTTAAAGAATGAACATTACAACTCCGCTGTTAACAAATTATTGTTTTTATGAGAAGGTTACACTGATAAATCATAACTACATTCTACACGGATTACTGCCGGCGTCTTTCTCCCCGCTTGGAAGTCAGAAATGCATGCGCTAGTTTTTCCCCACACTGAGCTCACATGGGGCTATGGACTGTTCACAATGTGTCATATGTACTGTAGTGTATCACAGTTCATTTGGAAATCATGTAAGCATAAAGATAAAGGTCACTCTTTCCATTTAAAACTTTATTTATAAGAAAAGACCTGCTCTAGGCACATCGTTTTCTGTTTATTCCATTAATACCGTTAACAAAATTAATATCTTCTCCTATTTACATATCCCTACACCTTATCTTCCATCCTCCCCTTCCTTCCTTCTCTCCTTCATCTAGCCCTCTGTGGTCCTCTCTCTCTTTCTCTTCCCAGTCCCCTGTCCCTTCATCATCGCTCCCTCCCTCCCTCTGGTGTCACGGCTCGCTGGCTCCAGGTGGCGAGGGAGGGAGGGAGGAAGGGATGTAGGGAAGGATGGATGAAGGGAGGGAGGGAGGGATGGAAGACAGGAGGAGGGGGGATGTGCTGTCATCTGTTCCTATGTTCATACCATCACAGTGCAGACCAACATCCTGCTGCACTCCGCACAGTCAAACTGTTCATGCATCAGTTTTTTAATCTAACACTAGAGTGTGTGGCCTAAGAAATTCAATTAAGAGAATAAATGTCAACTTTTGAGAGAATAAATTGCTTTACATTCAATGAATTTGGTTCTTGATTAAGCACCATTCAAAACAGAGAGATTTTGTAACTAAATATTGCAAGACAAGTATTATTCTAAAATGAAATAATATTTGTAGTAGTACATTCGTTCAATATTAAAGGTTCTGCTATAATATGCAGCACAGCAAACAATCAAACCTCATCGCTGATTCCATTAATTGGACAAACTGGAATTCTAACTTTAAAATGTTGGCAAAGTAACAAAGTAATAAACTGTTCTCAGTTTAAATTAAAATTACCTTTGTGTTACCAATAATAAAAAGCACACAAAGGTTAACTTCAAATGTCAGCGTAAGCCGTGTTGGATAATGGTTGTTGTAACAATTATGGCAATGCCAGTAACAGTCGCACAGCCATGTTTTATTCAGCTATGCCTTCATCAGTGTGGTCACCAGCAAATTAGACAGAAACATTTGGTAAATAAAGCATGGAGTTGTGTTGTGCTGTGTTGTGCTGTGCGATGTGTTTTCATTTTAATTAACTTGAATTAGTGCTCACACTGATCCGTACCTCGCTATGTGTGCGCTCTCTAACATACAGGATGGGAGCAGCAGTAGTGACAGTAGTTGGAAGGGAGGTGCTGGTTGAGTGAAGGCTTGGTAAACAGTTTTACTACTTCAGATTTTTCTTAAGATACACCAACTGATCAATGCGTTGAGAGTTAAGCACACTCCTCTGAGAAGACATGCCATCGCCTGTGGCGCTAAAAACTCTCTCAGATAGGACACTTGTGCCTGGGACAGGATTAACAGGACTTCATAGCAGCTTTTTTTTTTTCCAGACTGTTTGACAAGCTGTCCACTTACTTCCGACATACTTTCGGTTCACGAAGACATTGAAATTCTCCTGTTCACTCTCTGTGAAATGCTGCACTGTGACATCAGTTCCCGGTATGCCCGGTGACCCCGAGGAAAAATAACTGAGCATTAGTGCAGGCACAGGCACACACCAACAACACAGAAGACAGAGTAGTCTGAAGCTTATTAGTTCAGGTGCAGCAGGGCAGAAGGGAACAGCAATGTTGCTAGCCGGTGGCGAACACACACACACACATATACACGCACACACACACACACGAGTGAACCCTCAACCACATTATCCGCCTCCATTGACTCTAAAAGCTTCTTATTCGCCTCATTAAGTCTTCAGTGACACAAAGTAACCACACCAGACCCTGCCTACTACCACATACACATACATACAGATAGGTGTGTGTGCGTGCATGTGTAAAAGGAAAAAGGGGGGAGGAAAAGGAGAAGGGGGGACACTAGGAAGCACAGAAAGATGTGTGCACAGACACACTGCGGCTCAGCCGCAGCCCTTGGGACGGCTGCTTAGACAGCAGACCGACATTACTAGTCAAGCGCATCACAGATTTGACTGCAGGCTAACAGACAGGCTGAATGCAGGTTGACTGTTCTGAAGTGCAACCTCAAGGAACAAAATAAAAGTGAGCCGAGTGTATTTAATACCTTAGTCCACACAGACGGGTTCATAAACTGCAAGGGTGAAATTAAAAAGTGAAAGTGCTACTGTAGTTATTCAAGTGAACCGTACTAATTCAGGGAATATTCAGAGTGAAGTGATGCCAACCCTGACCAGCTGATGCCAGACCAACATGAGCACAATTTAAAAGTCCCAAAACTATTGATTATTAAATGTGTGAAGAATGTGAATAGGGAAGGCTACCTAACACTATTAGAGTGCATTGATGTAAATAAGTAAGTAAAGCTCATGCTGAGGACACATCATTAGCCACCACACTCCACGGGGAGCACTTAGATCCAGGTGAGTGGCCACTCAATACCTCCAAGGCATCTGTGTGTGCACGCGTGTGTGTGTGTGTGTGCGGTGTGTGAATGAGGTGGGAAGGACAATGAAGCATGCAACTAGCAGCAGGGATTGAGGTGAATGAGGAGTTGAGGTGAGGGGTAATTGTGCAAGGATTCGGCTAAAAATGTGTCAAATTCAAAATCATCCCTCAAGAATGCAACTGATACTGTTGACAAATGGTGAACAAATTTTAGCCTCAGTTAAGCTACATTTCTGCCTCTTGGTTTTTCCACATCATGCAATGTGACTTTTGTAGGTGATTTGCCAATATCTTGTGCTCGGTAAAAAGAATCAAAGCCTATCTATGATATTAAAAAAGCAAGGGAATGAAATGCTGATGGGCAGGCGGTGAGACAGCACAATGCTGCCTTGCTCATAGTGCGAGCTAAGGAGACAGAAAGGGGACAAACCTTTCCGACAGGTGGGCTCTTCTACGGGCCATCCAATAGGCAGGTGGGGATGGGGGAGAGCGGAGGAGAGAATGGGCACGGTTAGTAATACGTAGTGTGAACGTGGTGTGTGTGGGGGAGGCAAAAAGTTGATTTACACCTTGATAGTGAACACAACATGAAGCAGGATTAAAGCCATTTCTCCTCAGTCGTACTGTAGACAAATCAGCTTGTTGACAAACCCCTCCTTGTGACCTTTATTACCACCTCACAGAGTGAAAGTAAGGAAATGAAAACCCATTTATTGAGTGACACTAATGTGTACCGTGGTGTTGCTCTGGCTTACAGTATGTAGAACACACTCTCAGCAGCTACAGTACAACTACAGTGACACCTGGACACAGACGGGTTAGGTTTAAAGGACCAGTGTGTAGGATTTAATGCCATCTAGTGGGGGAGTTGCAGATCGCAACCAACTGAATACCACTCGTCTCCCAAGCATGTTGGAGAAACTAGTCCTGTCTAGCGTCAGTGTTTGGTTTGTCCACTGTGGGCTACTGTAGGAACATACTGCAGAAGAGGACTCGCTCCCTCTGTAGATAAAAACAGCTCATTGTAAGGTAACAAAAACCAAACCATTCTATTTTTTAAGAAATTATACACTTATGAAAACATGCCAATGGATATTACATTCCATCTCTGCTGATACATCCTCTGAAACGTTACACACTGGCCCTTTAAAGCTGACCTCTTAATGCTGCTGCAGCTAAAGGCTACGGGGACAGACAGAAAGGGGGTAAAAAGGAGAGGGAGAGAGCGGACAGAAGGAAGGAAAGTAATGATGGGGGCAGGAAATTTGACCAAAAGTGTTTGCATGAAGAGAGAGGAAGAGAAAAAGAGAGGGCAGTGTGAAGTGTTATTGGCAGATCAAAGTAAGGGTTGCAGTCAGTATGCTAATTGGAGATTGGTCCCTGATTAGGACCAATGAAAAGGGGAGATAACGCGCTGTGTGTGTGGCTCTTTGTGCACACACACGCCGC